GATCGAGAATCCTTTTCAGTGACCGAATTACCGTAAGGTAATCGTTATCACATATGATGATAACATCATGCTTGGACTTGTGTAGAATGTGTATCCGAGAGATACTGACGCTCAAACCATTCGGATTGATAATACGGGCGAGCCAGAATGTCATTTTAGACCTGTACTCTCTATATCTACCGTACTGACCGAGTATGGCTGTATTACTACATCCACAAGCCACCAGAGAATAACGAAATTATTACACCGAGGCTGTCACTTATCGCTGTTCTCTTGTAAACTTCTATATATTTTGATATTCGTTGGAGATTGTGCAATAATCCATAGTGATAAAACATGGACTATCCAGTTATTGGTAGCTAGAGTTAATAAGCACTCTCAGAACCTTTTTCTACTCCGTACAGAACAGTTTTGTCTTTTATTCTGTTTCGTTTTTCCCAAAGAAGCACTCCAATTTTTTCATTGTTTGAACTAATTTCCTTTATATCTGCATCAGAATATGACAGATATCGATTAAGTAGATCAATGTGCCTGGATAGCCTAGTCGGTAAATGCTTCGTAAGTATATATAAAATATTCTATATATGATATGTATTCTGATACGAAGTGGTCGAGTTCGATTCTCGTAGGTACAGATTGTTTTTTTACTTTTTTGTATCTAGCTGCATCTAGCTGCAGCAGTCTAAACTAGATGCAGAAACTGTGAAAAAAAATCGATGCAAAAGGCGATGCACTGTTAATGCATCGCGCTAAATATCGCCTTTTTTATCATTTCAATATTCCTATATTGGTAGGCGATGCATCGCCTCTTGCATCTAGTGCGTCGCTTTTACTCGATGCATCTAGATAACTAGATTTTTTTTACTCATTTATCTAGATGCTCCTGCTGGAGCATCGCTAGATGCACCAGCGAATGTATCTAGATATTTTTGCTGGGCAGGTTTTGCTTGGGACTGTCCACTTGCCCTCCTCCCTCCCGATGAACGAGATGCCCGTCAAAATGCGAATATACAATCAGAATCTTGCGAGTCAAAGTATAGTTTGAGGAACACTCAAATGTCCAGCAGCTCATATGTCAGATGGCGTCCTTATTGACACTTTCAGCAAAGTTTTTTGCATCGGAGTGTCAATAGCTTCTTGTTGACAATCCCAAACAGTTGCTGGGAGTACCAATAGCTCCTTGTTCACGGACCATAGATTGAAGGATCAAGGTAAGATACAATGACGAGCTACAACGACTATTCACTGTATCTTATGTTTGCTGGAAGAAATGTAGGATTTCATATCAGATTTTGATGAGATTTTCCTAGTATCTAGCCTTACCTGAGTTAGAAATAGTCTTAAAGTTTCAACTTTAACTGTTGTTTCCTTTCTGAAATATTAGACAATTAGAATCGAACAAACTTCTTTCCATTCGAAATATTATCAGTTTTTGGGATTTCTGTATGTGATGTAATACAGAGATCCAATAGAGGCATCTTAAATAAAATGATGGCGATTAGAGTTTAATATTAGTTGACTAACTTATTCTAACCAGTTCATCATGATAGTTACGTCGGTATAAGAGTCTGCGTACGTTAGTAGTATTTTGCCACTCAGGTATACTGCGAACAAAAGAAAATAGAAAAGAAATAACAGTGTTGTATCTATGACTCTTTTCTTCTCTTTCTTTTCTCTAACGATCATTTTATCCTCTAATTCTCGTCCAGTTTTGGTCCTTAAGTTGATTAGATAATATAGAGACGTCAATTCACAAAATAGAGAACTAGCACGGATGTGAAATGTTTCCTGAAACTAGATAACGTTAAAAAAGTTTTACATACGAAAATTAAACCTTTATTAATGTCCTAAATACTGCGTTGCATTCCTCTATGAATTATGATGATAAACCCCTGTAATAATTTTAGATAACAGAAGAAGAGACATACTCTAAAATGCCTAATGTTTTAAAAATTAGATATCTCATGAAGGAAGAACGATACAAAGCTGAGAGACCTCTTATTTTGTGGAGAATTGTTTGCTCTAGCTTTGTAGAGTATATTCTGATTTTTTCCAAACGCATGATTTTTCGATGTTTTCTAGCGCTTTTTCCGAAGCGATTTCCTTAAGATTTTCATAACGTCCCAAATGTCTGCTTCTGCAGTTTTGTAGAGCTACCCTTCTTCCATATACCCTTAAACTCTTAGTTGAAAAGAAATGGTATGTTAGGAGATAACTGATTGTCAATTTAACCAAGTCACGGCCTCTATTAACCAAAGATGAAGAGACATATAGAGTGCGGAGTTACGTCAAAATGGAGCCAGATATCAGAAGTATCTTTCATGAAGTTTTCATCACTATTAGTTATATGGTCAAGTAGTGGCATACATTTTAGTGAAAAACGTCATCACTTTTTCTTACCTTAACAAAGTGTTGGAGCTATTTTTAAAACTTAAATATCCTAGCAATGGTGTGGTCCTTCGCGCTGTGGTTTGCGGTATTATTCATCAAAATATATTTCATGTGTTTTCGCGAACTTCGATTTTTCACCTAGAAAACTCACTCATGGTCTCCCTCAGGAAAATGGAAAAAGAAAATTTTACAAAATCGACGGTTTTGAGGTGAAATCGTTTTAAAACTGCATTTTGTAACGTTTTATGCCAGAAGTAGTCGATAAAACATCTTGTTGAAGGTTGCCATAACAAAGAAGCATTTTAGCCTGAATTTACAGTACCTATGTAAAACATTCTGTTCATCGAATTTTGAAAACCTGAAGACTCAGCAATACTCAGAAAAATATTCTCTATAAAACTGCAGCCGAAAACAGTCGTTTGCTTTATGGCCGAGAATCGGCCTTATAATCCTTCCTCCTTTTTTTCGCACTCATCCACAGCAAACTTCGATTCACGGAATTGTCGGTTCGGAAAGCATCGTTCACGAAAGAATCGTGTCATGTCTGTTGGCGGAAAAATCGTCTCACTTTGTTTTGTATACTCAAGAGTCATTGTACAAGAGTCACAACTGACGATGCTCAAGACTACGACAGATTTTGACGAAACTCAATTTTAAATACTTTTGATTTTTGCCTAATGTCCGTCGTCTTAATGCAGACCCTTTCCTGAAATTTATTTCAACTAGGCTAAGATTTTTACTGTAGGTACGCAGCACTATTCTGTAAACGTAACATTTTGTTTTTGAAAAGCAAATGCTTCACTGAATCATAGTGATGATTTCTCCCGCCAAAAACCAAGGGTATAAAAGAGTTTTCGAGTATTCTCGCTATAACTTTTGAACGAACCAAATTTACAAAAAAATTGTTTCGGAGAAACCCAACAAGCTATGAGTGAAAAGCTTTTCGGAGGGGACCTTGAGTGGCACCGAGTTTTCCGAAAAGACACTTTTGTTTAGGTTTTAACAAAAACAAGCTGTAGGAGACTGCGTAAAGAATGTGTTAAAGGTTTTGCAGCAGTTCTAATAATAAATAAGAGAGCCAAAAATGTAAATTATGAAATCAAGTTTTAGGAGAAACTCAGGGCGAAAGGTACTATTTCATTTTCTAAGATCCAACGTTATTACATTGGGAGCCAAACAATTTATGTTTATTAGTGAAAAACGTACTTTTTGCTGTGGACAAATACCGTTGATTTATTCTATGTCCGGCCGCTTAAGGAAGACATTTATTTAACTGTTTATCCAACTGAACAGTAAAATTTCATTGTGTAAAAACTACAAGTAGCAGTTTGTTTTTCCTTTGAACAGAAACATCTTTGGTTTTTAAAATAATGAATTCGTTTAGCCATCCGAGTGAAAATTCGAAGTGATATTTTAGCCAACCGAATTAGATACTTTTACTTTGGTGAATTCATTTCTTTGATTAGGTTCAAATCGCGATCTACATTTTCGCTTCCATTACATTCTCCTTTACGCAAGATAAGCTATAGCAACGATTTTCAGTGAAAAATAACATAGTTTCAAAGCATGTGTTCTTCGATTATCTCATGAGTTGCTTCTGCTTCTTTTCTTCATTTTACAGGACCGACCAAATAGGAAGAGTGCACTATTTGTGTGTATAATACGGTATATCGACTCTAGGGCACGCGACACTTGGGCGCTAACATTTGGGTGCGAACGACATTTGGGCGCAGCGACATTTGAGCTTCAAAGGTGAGGGTGAATATCGATGAAGATTAAACAAACAGTGATTACAGTTGGATATGAGTAATATAGAAAAAGTTCTCACACCGTACCAAGTTTGTTTAAAACAAAATTTTGTCGTTATGCATCATACTTTAAGAAATGCACTCTTGCTGGATCCTTGTGTCGTGCATGCGCCCAAATGTCGTGTCGCGTAAATGTCGTTGTGCCCAAACGTCTGGTAATCGTATAATACAGAAGTTTTAATATGAATATGCATACAGATGTCTTTCTATTTAGATAGTTCACGATAAATATTGATTTTGGTAAAAAATTCTCAAAAGATCTATGCTATTTATGATTAGTTCGTTTGAATACATTGTGCTATTTGTTTATGAAATCAGCTTGCGCTACTTTTCAAGTATGCGAAAGACTTGTTATATTCTTATTTTTGCTGATATTAGTGCATTCATTTTTTGTTGCACACTATGCCTTAAACAGAAATTTAAAAAGAAGCTTGTTGAATATTTTATAATTCATGTTTTTTATAGAATTAAGTTACGAACCAAATGAAGTGCTAAATTTTACTGTTCCAGGATAACTTGCAACAAATAGTTTCTGATTTTAGAATAATAATTTAAAAATACAAATTCTTCTTATGGCATCAACATATTCTGACTCAATGGGTTTTGCTGATCATCAGCCTTCATATCGTGAGATGCAACAAGAGTTGAAAAAACGCAAAATAAACGCAGGTGGTACCAAAGAAGAATTAACGAAAAGATATAAAAAAGCTTTAGGAGGTGAAGATAAAGATAAAGGTAATCACAATCATTTCTCGTATAATTACTCCAAATGAAAGTATCTTTTAACCGAGGTCTCAGAGTCTGACTCAGTTAGAGACCGGATATAACGCTGAACGCTAATTTTATCTGCATTTAACTTTAGAATTAAGACTGCTTAGATTAGAATATTAGTCTTAGCTGAATAGTTTTCTACACACACTTCAGATTGCATCTAAACGATACGCATTATGAATTGGAAAAGTGGTTTTTCAATAATTCTTGTAGTCACAGAGTAACCGTCTTATTAAGGAATATTTTTTCTACTTGTTTTAGTAGAAATTTTGTCGAAACAAACAATATGTCATCTTGGTGAAAACGTCACTTACGTTGAGCAGAAGTAAGGTAACAACATCGTAGTTAGTTGATTGTACTGTTTATTCAGATATTTATATATAATTGTCAATCACTGAAATTTAGCTAAAGCATTTCAGTTTACACTTTGATCTTAGTGCTTGGAAGTTAACTAAATATGATTCCTTTTCACATGCGCGAAAAATAGATTTCCACTAAGTTTTTCTTTTCTTTGAGACATCTGATCTAGTTCATCTACTATATTATAAGCGAGCACGTACATAAACATATCGATTTTTCGACTGAGTATTGCCGGGATCCAAGAATTTAGTCATTCAGTACGTGCCATACTGTGAAACACAGGTGTGGGCGCAAAAGGCTGACTTATAATCCTCTAACAATGCTTTATTTATGGCATTTGACTTAAGATCTGTTATTACAAGGATGCCAGATTTGTATACTTATAATGGCTTAATCAATCAAATTAAAGCGATTAAATATCAAGTAGTTACAGTCGAAAATTTAATTAATAATCGATTGAAAAATGAAACGAAGAATCAAAATCAATTAAAATTCCGTTCACTAACGTTTCTTGATCCATATGGCAATCAAATAGTCAACAAACATATGGATCATGAATTGATCAATAAAATAGTCAAAATATATAAGAAAGATTATGTACCAAAATATTTGCAACGATGGATACACATTGGCCATATAGATCATGATCAGATTTCATCAATAAACGAATCTGAGTTAATATCGACTGTATCTGAATGTATAAGTAGTCATCAATTTATTGCGTATGGACGAGTGACTGTATGGTTAGGAAGTTATGATAATCCAACTTTTAAAAAATATGTATTAGCAGTTGTATTAATTGATAATATGGAGAAAATCAAAAGACAAATGGCTAGACTTGAACGATTTATGTGTATGGAACTAAAATCATGTATATTAAATAATCGTGACGAATTAAACGAAAGAGATTGGAATGAAGGTAAAGTAGTTAAATGGGAAGATACAATTCTGTCAAGTGGATTATATCAAGATAATTGTGTTTTGATGGCAAAAATCGGGAATGAAAAGGTAACGTGCCACATCGTTATTGTAAACAAGTAGTTCTCCTCTAATCTCAGTTAGTTCTGCTTTCTTTCACAAAGACTTGGACTGCAACTTTGTCTTCCAAAACCGGTTTCGAGCATCAAGGAAGAACCGGGGATGATTACGATATCTTTATTCGAATCTTGACTGGAAGGTGTTTCAGCTTAATGGTAAATTCGTCCATGCATTTGACTGCTGTGCAAGAACTAATCCAATAGAAGGAAGGTATTCCTCCTGATCAACAACGACTTACGTTTCAAGGCCATCAACTAGATGGAGGAAAAACTCTCGGAGAATACAACATACGGAACGGGTGTACGCTGCATCTGGTATTGAGACTGAGAGGTGGAATGTACCAATTCACTAGTGGGCGAGAAGGTTTTGGAAGGCTTACTTATGATTGTTATCAGATTAGACATGTACTTGCATTCAAGTTTAAAGATATCAAAAATGTTCATCAATTATCATCAGCTACATTGCAAGAATCTATCGTACAAGCACAAGCTATTCTGTCAGCTTTATATCGTAAAGCCACAACCATTTATACAGCAGCTGATATTCCAAAATTGACGGAAATTATCATGTTGACTGACGCACCAAATGGAAATGATGATGACAAGAACAATAGTGACGATAATGATGTGTCGCACGATCAATGATTATCATTGACTGGAAACTTCAAATTACGTGCACCTTACTCAAATGTTTACTTATCAAAGAAGAACAAATTGATTCTCCATGCAAAAAAAGCCTACATTCTCAAAGTTTCAGCTCAATCGAATGCAACTGCGCTAATTGAGAATCTTTTTCCAGGAAGCCTCACAAGTTTTTTCGAGAAATGCTCCATCTTCAGAAACGTCGCTATAGTGTGTAGTTAATCCATGTGTGATAAAACGGAACTTTATATCAATCGAAAGAGCAAAGAAAGTTTGAGCAAAACCTGATGTTTTATAGATTTATTCAACTTCAGTTTCATGTTGAAACAACTGAGGTTTTAAAATTTTAGAATTGTCGGAATCTCTACCAAAACAATTTCGGCTTTTTCTGGTCGAGATACCTTATTTCCTTGCCTGAAATATTAAAAGAATGTCTGTTCGTTGGTGATAGACAAAAGGGGTGGACACATTAGAAGACCGCGGGTCTTCTATTCTGTCCGATCGTTGACAAATTGTTGGGACGTCTTCTATTGTGTCCCTTAGAGAAGTCATATTTTTCGGTACCCTCAGCAATAAAACACGCAGTTCAAAACCGCTGTATTTGACCACATTTTGTTTCGTTCAGAGAAAGAACACTATTATTGCTTCAGCTATAGGGATGCATATTCAACGAACTGCAAAAAAGTAAAAATATTGCAGATACTCAAAAAAGTCAACCTCTGTTAAGAATTGGAAAAGCCACCAATAACACAAGTCTCTGTTCATTGGCTTTAAGTTTTTTTCATAGCAAGATATTGAGCGACGAGCACAAATTGCTGTTGTTGGAAATTTCAAAGGATTTAATTGTAAATCAATCTTCCTCTTTTGACTATACAATGACCATGTAACAGTTTTACGGTACCTGACTGACTTTCACTTACAACGACTGTTTTATCCTGTTCCCTTTCTAAGCGTTCACTTTCACATTTCGTCCATTTTCCTTTCGTTTATTTTCTTCACACATTCTCCTGGATTCTCACAAGCATTAAATACAAGGTGACATCATCGCGATCATTATGCTTCAGTGAACTTCAGTCGCATCTCCTATTGGGTTTTTTTCAACACAAAATATAGTCATATTTTCCATTCTATTTGGCTATGATATATTGACATGAAAGTAATTTCTTTCGCATCCTGAAGCGACAGGTTACATTTCTTCAGCTCACAAAAAACAAACTGAACAAATCAGTGCTAAGTGCGAAAAATATCCAAAACCGCTGTATTTGACGACATTTTGTTTCGTTCAGAGAAAGAACAATATTATTGGGCTTCAGATACAGAGACGCATATTCAAAGGTGTGCGAAAAAGTAAAAATATTGCAAAAATTCTCAAAACGTCAACGTTTGTTAAGGGGCCTTCTAATCTGTCTTTTGCTTCGTTCACTCAAGAGGGATCTTCTATTGCGGGGGGGAGTCTTGTATTATAGAGGTGTGGCGCTCGTTAGGCCCTACTAACAGCTTCACAAAACAACACCCAAATCTATTCTACCAGCAGCAACAATTATTATTAATGTAATGATAAACTTCTTGTACAAAAAACCGTTTGCACAATATTGAAGTTCAATAAAATAGATAATGTCCTTCTTTGTTCTGAGAAGAGGTGACGGAAATCATGATCCTGATGTACAGAAAGAGAAACTTAAATAAATATTGTAAACTAAAATACTAAATTATAAAATATTAAATATAGATTAAATATAAAATTTAATTTATATAAACTATTTAAATAGAGTATTGAAGCTCCTCCTTCCCTATATATGAGAGAAGAAGAAGAAGTGGTTTGAAATCTCTCTCTATAAATGTGAGAGAGAGAAGAAGCAGAGAAGAGATCTGAACTTGAGGTTGAAAATTGACAAGAATCCATAAAGAATCGAAATTTACTTTCGATTATGACTTATTTTTCGTTTTGTTCCTTGAAAACGACTAGTATTATTAATAAATAATAAATAATTTCTTTCTATAATCTCTCTAAAGTCCGCGAAGCTTCGAAGTTTTAAGAATTTCTAGAATATGCGATAAAATCAGCGAAGTAGAATAATGTAATGGCAATGAACCGTTATAAACACCCCGTCGCCCCGGGAGAATCCGTCACGGATTCAAAAATCACGGTAGATAAAGGTGTTCTACTTTCTTGTTTTTTTCTCTTAATTTTCTTGTTCGCGTGAATAGTTTTTTTTTCGAATATAAGTTTAAAGTTATATCAAGAAAAGTTCATATTCACGAGACGGACAAAAGGAAGAAACTGACTGTCGCTATGCTATTTTGATACAGATTTGAGAAGAGAAAGCTAACGAGAAAAAGGAAAAAGAGACTGCTTAGCTTAGATTCAAAAAGACCGTACTGATTTTTCGATCTAATAGCACTCCTTTAGTCAGAGTGTTTTTTTTCTATGAGAAAAACGAGGGAATTTGAAATTCTGAGAATTTCGCGTGTTTTGAGCTGGTAAACGACTTCCATCATGAGATATAGGCACCATCAACGACACAGCTATCAGGCAAAGGTCCGCCAGTCTTGGAAGAGAGAGAAAAGACTTGAAGTATCTAAATAAATCTTGAAATTTGTGATAAAATATTAAATTTATTTCCATTACTAAATACAGCAACATCAATCTCTAATCCAGAAAGATTATCCTACGTATGCGCTGGTGATAAAAGATTTTCATTATTTAACCATTTAAGCAAGAATGTTCAAAAGATTTTTATTTGTTTAAAATAGATACATCTAATTATACAAAATCTAAAACAATTTCCATTCAATTAATATTTGAAAAAAAGAATTATTTTTTGTACATTGTTTTTAATTAGTATATTAAAAGGTATAGAATAAAACTATAAACAAATAAAACTGGATTCATAATTATTTCTTTAATTATTGTTTACAGGATTACCGTTACATGATTATGAATACGTCATTAATTGTGATGTTTTTAATGATAGAATTAAATGCCGATGAACAGTGTATTGAATCCAGTGACTACAAAAGAAAGAATGATTTTAAAACGAATAACAATCAACATCGATATCGTCAAGCATATTCGGTGTCTCAAGCAATGTATAAGAAAACGATTGCAGAAGGTATACTATCAAATACTTTTCTAAACTAAATTGAAACATACGATGAAAATTATTATTTTTAATTTGATAGGTTCAGCGATTTTAAAAGAACATTTACCCCTATGAATATTTGGTTCATGGACAACAAATGAAACGCAATTTATATGAAGAAGAAGATTCAATTAAAAAAAATATATATTTCATTATGAACCACGTTATCCGACAGATTCATACAAGTACGCCTTATTATTATTTGTGATGCTAAAGCGAATTTACATCTTATTACTTTATTCCTATATTTAACGAATACCGGACAGATTTCTTAATGCAATTGAAGATTGATTCCAGTATGATTTCAATAAAAGAATCAATAATGAAATAGACCGATGTAGATGTCTGTTTCTAGTCGGTGAAACTTTAGCCGGTAGTATCAGCTAAGGGTGAGGCTGGTACGTACTTTTTATGCATATAAAATATCATATATAACAAATTATTGTGCCTTTGGTAATAGGCAAAACATCATGGGCAAGAGCATTTGGAAAACGTATGCATTTCCATATAAACTTCAGTTTAAAAGTATAAATTTAAGATATTTTAAGTATATTAGTGAAAAAATCTTATACATATTCCTTTATATTTAGAATTGGTATCAAGATGCCAATTACATAGTTTTGGATGATATTAAACATATAGCTAATTGTTTATTTAAAGCTCCTGGTGATATATTTTAACAGGTAATTTATATATGCATGTGTTATCTTCCATAATACAATGAAACATTTGATCATAGATAAATACGTAGCTAAAAAAGGAATAAACAACCAAAAAACCATGCATTTATTGTGTGAATTACGGCGAGGGAAAGAATATTTATGAAGATGAAGAAGAAGGTGATTACTAGTTATGCAACGACAAGTAAGGTGCCGGAAATTCGAAGTTACAACAGGAATTTTCTTTTCGTTCTTTTTGGCATGGTTAGATAAAGCTCATCGAGTTGCATCAGAAAAACATAATCCCACATTTTAAGAAGTCATATTTGGTGAAAAATTGTAAAAATACTCATCTTTTGAAAATAAGCAAAAGACCATGAAATTTTCAAAAATAAAGAAATTTTTCATACTTATTGTTCTTCTAAAATCTCCAAATTATTTTTTCTAATTCATCATCGAAAACTGAGTATAAAAACTGAATTCCAAAATTTTAAAGTTAAAACTGACCGCCAAATCCACGGAACAGGAGCAGAATCGTAAAAAACCTACTTGTTAAACTTGCAAACGTATCTAGTATTTTCCATTGAAAGACTAAGCGTTAATTGTTATTTCCTTGTAATCAGTAAACTTGTAGAAAAAAAAGTTTGTAAAGCGTTTTTAGAAATATTTAATCGTTTTCGAGAAAAATCACTTTCGTTTTTTCTCATATTGGTACGAGGTAATGGATTTCCTTCAAAATTCAGTGATACAGATCAAATTTTATGTATAAATCAATAAAAATAAAATTGAGATCCTGCCATAATCTTTAAAGGTTCTCGAGAGGGTTCTCATGGGATTTTCACATGTTTTCCGGGAAACTTACACTTAAAAAGCTTGATTTTCGTTACAATCGTAGAATGAAAATGTTATAGAGAATAGCGCTTTCAAAAACGGCAAGAAGGAATAGTTTTGAATTCATGTCATGTGGTAGACGTTTGCAAGTAGAAGGGATACACATGGCAAACTTGTTAGTTTTCTAATTGCATGTGCGTGGTTTTGTCTTTTAGATAAATTCTTCTAATTATTTCTTTCCTTAGAAAAACATACTGTATTTTTCACTACATTACGTACTATGAAATCGACCAGAAGGCGCCTGGAAGTGGTGATGACGGAATCCAGTAAAATTGTTATAACGTGGTTATTAGGAGTCGCAGAACGTCTCGTTTTGTAGATAAATGTTTGTTCTATGTATTTGTTGAAAGTAAAAAAGTTTTAAATTAATTGTGACAATAACATGATCATTCTTAAATGCCATGACTGTACGTGATAACTGAAAATCAGTTATATAGCTGTTCATGCCTTTTCTGTTACGCCTTAAAAACGCTTCTCGCTCTGAACCTTTAATTTCATCTTTCATACAAATACCTAGAACAAACATTTATCTGCAAAATGAGACGTTTGTACAAGCCTTAACGATTCTTAATAAATGCGTCATAACAAGTTTGCTGGATGCACCAAAAAACAGTCTGAAATAACTGATCCGTAACTGGCGCATACATAGACGGAATGTAGTCTAAAACTGATATCTACGTACACATCTGTAGGAGCAGAGAGACGTAGATTTTTTCGACTTTTACTATCGCAAAAGTTGAATGTTTTTCCTTCATTGATTCTGAATATCACGAAGAAGTCTTCTTTCTTAGAAAAAAAATTTAATGAAATAGTTAGTCAGTAGAAATGTCGTTTTTCGAGGTTTTCTTTCGTGTAAAAGTAAAATATAATTTAAAGTTCTCCAGTAAGAAATCTATTTAGGTGATTACAAGCTTCTACATGTTAAGGGATGGTGACGACACTTTTTTTTGCAGCATCTTCGTTCATGATGTGTTGCCACAACAAGATAAAAGTTGGTACAATTAAGATTTCCAAAAATTCTCAGTCAGCTTGAATTGAGGGAGCTCAAGATGGTTTTGTTCCGCGCAGAAATTTCATCGCTTTGACAGTAAAGAAGCTTAGTCTTCAAATATTGTCTTGCCGATTAATGCACAACATTTTTCGTTAAAGCCCCAAAAAACCTCTTTTGGATTTTTCAGAGTTTTTGACTGTTCTTACTTTCTGAAACGAAGATTTTCTCTGCAAAACACAACTATCCCCAGCACTCAAACTGACTGAAAATTCCAGTAAACTCTATAGGAGACGAAGAGAAAAACCAATTTTGAGACATGATGACGCTGGTGTATGACTCATATTTTAGGACTCTTAACAATAGTATTATAACGATGAAAGCACTGCCAGAGAGACGTCTCATTTTAATCAGACATATTTTCTTTACAATCTCGCAGTATTAAAATCGTTGTTCATCCGGGCATTCCACTGAAGTATTAGATTTCAGAAAAATCAGTTTCTAGTTTGTTACAATACTTCTTCAAAAGCTTTGTTGCTGGTAAAAGCAGTACGAGCTCTAAGAGCAGATATCCTGAGTTCTCAATCATGTGCTTAGAGCAATATTGATTTCCTATGCAAAAAATCTGTATCAGTGACAAGGGACCCTGAATCAAGATGACAATGACTACTGACTATGATTAGACAAACAAACATTCTCCATAAGTGTAGCAAAATGCTTCACCAATTCTTTTGTCTCACAGATTCGTTGAATTTGCAGAGAGAACAAAAGAATCGTTTCAAAGAACGTGAAATTGAAGGAGCATTAAAAGGATGGAAAGAAATGCTTCCAGAAGAATTTAAACAGACGGCTATCAACGAACAAATATGTGTATAACCATTACAAATATTTATCTTATTTGAACTTAATACGTAAAAGTGTTCATAGGATGGCATTGTTCAAGAATGGAAACGAAAGCTGACGTTTTTAAATTAAATATGCATCCAAAAGATTCTTTTTGATAAAAACTCATTTCATGAACACTGAAAAGGAAAAGGAGGTGGAGAGAAAGAACGATCAAAATCAGCTCCATACGATACGAAACCATTTAAATCAAGTTTATCAGGAAAAACGGTATGAATTTTGATTCGTGATTATATTTTTGCTTCTTTAAGTATATGATTAAACAATTTCTTTTATCTTCTTTTCTTTTGTTTTCAGCTGGGTAGTAATAAAGATGGTTGTTTTTCGAAATTTCCCGCTCGGTCTGAAGAAGGTCCATATATTAGTGGTACAATCTAGTCTTAAGTTAAAAATGAAGTAAATAACCACTGCAAAACATTTTATCCAAATAAGTTTTCTAAATCTCGACTAACTGAATCAACAATTAATAAAAATATTAATTTACAGATAAATCGTCAAAATTACAAAAATATGCATTAAATATATTGCCAACAATATCACAAAGAATAATTGTACGATAAAGTTTGATTTTTGTTTTTAACATAGTGCTTTTTAGTTTTCTACTTTAAAATTTATTTTTGTACAAATGATTTATTCTTTTCTTTGAACTATAAAAATGAAAAATTTAAAAGATTTTAATTTATACTGAGTCATTTTACTTTTGTACAAGCTGATTATTTACGAATTGCTCTAACAACCAAAAATAGAAAAGAAACGATATTAATATTAGAAAATTTATATTGATCTAAATTAATTTGCGTTGTTTTTGATTCAATTTAATTATTTTATGTCTTTCATTTAGAGCATTTTTCTAATAATCGTTCAATTATCCTTTAAATGAAATCTGTTAAAGTTCATGTTTCATTTAGAAGAATGGAACGCTAAAACAAATTGAGATCATATGAACGTAAATTTTTGTTTTATAAAGAGAAAAAATTCAGAATATAACTTTCATTTCAGACAATACGAACATGTTCGTATAAATGAAAGTTAAGTTGCTTTTGGAGAATCATCTCATATCTGACTGGAGAATTCAAACCAAAATCAGCATTAGAGAAGCATGTTATTAAAACAGGTCATTCCATCAATTTTGATACTATTTCAATTATTGATCGAGACAATAGCCCTTACTGGTTGCTAGTGAAAGAATCTTTGGCTATTCGATCCAAAGCACCACAACTTAATGGAGCAAATCGTTCTGTACCATTGTACATGTTTCCTGAAGGTTATCTGAGCACATTTAAGAAGAAGAAAAAGAAAAAACAGTGATAGCGCCATCAATAATATAGTTTATTTAGCTGCAAAGAAAAAATAAAGACATAAATCTCATATTAAACCTTCAATTGGGACGCACGCAAAATTGATAGAAAAACATAATAACGCGTCTAATCAAGAAGTTACAATTTTTGAAGCTACCTATTTAAACGCGAATATAAAAATGAGTTTCTCATGCGATACTTTGGCTAAATTGTTATAAACAGATAACAATGTTCATACATGTGAACCAGAGGCCGCCGCAGGGCAACCTTTTTCGCCCTGTCCTGCCGCCCTGCCATGTCAAAAAATTACTCATAAAATTTTTTTAACCTGCCCTGTCTTGCTGGGCAGGACGACCTGCAGTGCAAAAAAAAAGTTTTTCTCCTTAACCTAGAAGACTTTATCTTCAAGAAACTCATCACAAAGACTGAATGTGTTTCTCGTGCGTAACAGAATCTTTTGTTTTATTAATTATCAATTTTAGAAAAGTTGGCCGTCATTTTTATTTTCACATATACGAGAGATCTCAAAATTTTACTTAAAAAGAAGCTTGAAAATCTCGAAAATCAATCTCCTACAGGGCAAATCAAGGAATTTTTTGTTGCCCTTACCTGCAACAGGTCAGGGCAACACAAATATATCGCCCTGTCCTGCGACGGTCTCTGATGTGAACATTCGTGAGTAAAGAGTTAATCCATATGAAGCGTTTTTCTCTATTATCTTACATCTATTCAGTGATTTTCTCTTTCAAAAAGTAAAAACCGAAGGTCTTCAGTTATCACTTTCTCTTCTTGAGTTACACGAAACAACAATACATGGACAATTAACATTAATACCAATAATGCTGCTATTTCAGTCAATGTGCACATAAGTTTATTTATATATAGGATTCATTTATATATAGTCTACACGTTTTTAAATATCCCTATTACTATATTTATAGTAATTATATATATATATTTCCTATTACTATATCTCATTTCTTGATTTGTATTCATTTTGTACACTGTAAGGTGGGAAATTCCGTGGAATTCCGTGGGGATTTTCCAGTTTATAGACAATCGAATTTCCAACAATCTAGAAAATCGCCGTTGAATTTCCATAAATAATTTTCAAGAAAGTAGAAATTTCTTTTTGATTTTCTATAAACTGGAAATTCCTTGGCGGGTCTGCACCGAGTGACGGCGCGACCAGGTTGTATGGGGGTTGACCCCGCTCATGCTTTCTGGGAAATTTCTGGTGATCGTCTCCGATTTTCGGACCTTGCTACCAAAACTTCGCGCCACCACTGTCTCTGCCTACATCAAAAGTCTTGCTGACATAGGCAGAATTGTGATCTAAAGTAGAAACTGTCAAAGTTGATTTAAGTGTAATATGAGTGTCTTTACGTGACGCTCTTATACCTACACTAATTGCAAAACAAAAAGATGAATAAGTATTTGATCTAGAAATTCCAGGGCGAATTTCCACTTTCTAGAAAATCGCCGAGGATTTTCGAGTTTATAGAAAATCAAAATCGAATTTCCAGATCCTTGGAAATTATTTATAGAAATTCGATTGATTTTCTATAAACTAGAAAATCGCCGGCGATTTTCCAGTTTATAGAAAATCCTCAGCGATTCTCCATCTTTATAGAAAATCGAATTTATGGAAAATCAAGTCGATTTTCTATAAAGCAGAAAATCAACATTTTCTAGAAAGCTGGAAATCCGTCGAGGAATTTCTATAAACTAGAAAATCCCCGGCGATTTTTCGGTCGATTTTCTATAAACTGGAAATTAATTCAAGATTACAATGTACAAGTAATAAATAAGAAATATTTACATAGAAATTTGAAACTATTGGTGGAGTGTAATGAACGAGAGAGAGTTTATTATATAAAAGCACTATAGTCTTCTCTAAAAAATGTTAGTATGAATAAAAAAATGACATTATTTAATAGAATAAAAATTCTTTTTTTAAACATAAATACTATTTTACAATTCATGTTACTATATTCTATAACAGCAGTGGAACCATTTCTAATATAACGCACTTAATTGATATTAGATTGTGTTTATGTTTTAATAATGAATCATCGTATGATTTTTCTCATTCATCATCCGATGTTCCAAACTATCAACTACAAATTTTAACCGCAATTATTATTAACTGACAGAAATATAGTTTGTTAAAAATAGAGAAAATAATTACCAAAGAAATATCACTTTTTTATTCTTTTTTTTTCTAACAATCCCAAAAACTCATCCCTGACTTTTAGTTCTTCCAATTTCGACATTCAGTTAATTATCTCGTAGGCAACAGATGCGCGATTCTAACACTCTCCCTCCCTTTAGCAGGCATTTTAAATCACCATTGAACTATCGTCGTTGTTTATACCAA